AGCCCACGGCCACGCTCGCGGGGAGGCCCCCGGGGAAGCCGGAGCCCCCTTCTGGGTGGTGCGAGGCCTGTCCCTCCCCCTCGGCAGGACCCAGGACGGAGCGAGCTCGCTGCCTGGCCTTGACCACACCCTGTCTGTCTCCCTCCGTGTGCACTCGGGCCTCCGGTGCCAGGCCGTGTGCTGGCGGTCCGCTGCCTGGGGTTCTGCAGTCGGCTGCACCTGCCCCCCCCAGGTCTGGCTCCGGCCGAACCCTCCGTCTAGAACCCAGTTCTCTGCACAGGCCTGCCCCAGGGCTTCCAGATGGGCTGGCTGCAGGCTGCGTGAGAGCCAGGGACCTGGCACACGTGGGGCAGACCTGACTCCTCCCTGGGCCATCCTGGAGGGGCAGTGTCCCGGGGGTGGGTGGTGGGGACCACATCCTGCAGACCTGGGGCCCCTCCCTGGGGCTGCTGTTGCAGGCAGTGCCGGGCAGCAACCCCCTGCCGGGCAGAGTGAGGGTGGTGGCTGGCAGGGATTTGGGCCAGGAATGTGTGTCCAGGAATGTGGCTGTTTTGCCCGCAGGAGAGAGGGGCTGGGGTCTTCAGGCGGCCAGAGCTGACAGCCTCTGCCTCCCTGCAGGGTGGGCCTACCGGGTCTTTCCCAGTCCCTCCCTGCTGCCCACCTCTGCCTCAGGCCCTGCCAGGGGAGGGAGCCCGTAGGCGATGAGGTCATCTGTCTGTGGCTGCCCGGAGCCCCGGCCAAGGAATCCGATGGGGGGGCAGGGTTGGCGCCACTTCAGTGGAAAATGTGAAGGTGCACTCGGCGCCTCCGAGGGGTGGGGGGCAGCGCTGGCCACGGTGCCACGTCAGACCCCAGGGCCAGGGAATGTGCCCCCGTCGGAGGTCAGTCCCCCGCTCCCGCCCTGCCCTCTCTCACGCGTACCCTGGTGGGGCTGTGCTGACTGGTGGCCACGCCGCAGGACATCCGGAACACTGTGGGCAACGTGCCCCTGGAGTGGTACGATGACTTCCCCCACGTGGGCTACGACCTGGACGGCCGGCGGATCTACAAGCCCCTGCGGAACCGTGACGAGCTGGACGAGTTCCTGGACAAGATGGATGACCCTGACTACTGGTGAGAGGGTGGGCTGTGGTGGTGGGCGGTGGGCGCCGGCTGGGCAGAGCGGGTGCAGCTCTGACCGGTGGCCTCCCAGGCGGACCGTGCAGGACCGGATGACCGGGTGTGACCTGCGGCTGACGGATGAGCAGGTGGCCCTGGTGCGGAGGCTGCAGAGGGGCCAGTTTGGGGATGCAGGCTTTGACCCCTACGAGGTAGGTGGCGCAGTGGCTGGCGGTGGGTCTGGGGTACCAGGAGCCCCG